AAGTAGGGAGGTTAAAAAGGTTGTCAAGACGAAAACAGGTTTGAATTTTTGGGTGCCATATAACAGAATACTGGACTTTTAACAGCGTTTCTGTCGTGGCAAACCAAGATTTAATCTCACAAGCTTAGTTTTGTTCTGTTAAACATCCACTATGTTCAGATCTAAATCTTACTTCATGAACAGTTAGTGCCAATCTTTGACTTCTTGAGGGAGGAGACATACACATGTAAACTCGGTTTGGCAGAATTAAACCATAAGGCTATTGATATTCCGTTCATGTTGTAATGAATTTCTACATCTTAAAAAAACTTTCTGAATTTAATGATTTCGTCAAAAAGTTAGGCACTGTGATCTATAAAGGTGAAACCTTAGTGTGGAGATCTTCGCCAAGTTTCTGTCTCTTCCCTTCTACAAAGAAGTTGAATCTTGAACCCATTGGCAAAGATAACAAAAACGAAACTCACATCGTGCCTAATCATGCCTTGATACAGTGTGCAGATTCTTCGTTTCAAAATGAGCCCAAACGGCTTCAGATAACCACAACCTAATAATTTGCAAAGTGTGCATATTGTAGTTCAAACTTGTCTTGGAAAGGTTCCTGTTGATGGTTCAACAATATATTGATGTCTAACCAAAGAAAATACCTAACAAAGTAGATTGCTGTTTTCAGGCTAAAACATCTCATCAGATATTTGTTGAGTTATTTATTAACGGTAAAACCCACAATGACACACACCTCTAATAAACCCGGCACAGATATATTAGGATCATTTAGCCTTCAGAAACCTTTCAAACTACTTCTTTAATAAAGCAGTGTTACCTACAAAGTAAACAGTGTAGAAATGTTTTTCTTCACCTCAATGAACCACAAACAGTGAATCCATGTTTAACACTCTCCTCTCGCCCCTGGCAAACAGCAAACTTAATCTAATGATGCGATTACACAACATGTGGCTCCTTCATGAAGCTGAATCAGCACCCCATATATGCTCAAATGTGTCTGATACACTCCTTTGAAGGATTATTCTGAGACCCTCAGGATGAAATATATCACAATTAAAAATGCTCCTAGTACGGCTGCTGGCATTAAAGGCATACCACGGTGCCATTCATTAAGTGCTGTATGCAGACATGGCGTCTTAGAGCAGCCTAGTGAAATTACAGGGGGAAAACTGGCAGCAAAGTCCATAACAGTCACAAATAACACCCTGCTGTGACAAGGGAAATTACACGTCTTTGGAATTGAAATGTTAATCGCGCGGTATAATTGTATCAGCGTGAGGAATGTGCAGTGCAAGTAATCGGATGCTTTCATGTTTTGATAAATGTGGTGGTGAGGTTTATTGTCAGTTTTTGGGATCTTTGAAATTTCTTGATGAAATGAGCAGATTGCTAATTTTCTACAATTGATTTATGATGACTTGGCTGTTGATGGAGGATTATGTGAACATTGGTTCATTAGGATAGCATTGAAAGACAAGGTAATCATGGAAACTAATATATGTATTTTGCAAAACACGACACTGCAGACAAGGATATAAATGGTATTTAATCTGATAGGAGAGACTGCAGATGTAAAGTTTGGTTAACATTTTACATCTCCAGTTGGATTACAGTATAAACAGCCAGTAATCACATCCAGACACCATTAATAAACTTGTGTCAGTATGCAGCAGGGGTCTGCATGTGTTTATATGGCTCAGTAGCTGCACTATATGAGTGGATCAGTATAAGCAGTTCCCACACCCTCTCAGGTGTCCTGTGCTCGGGACAGCCTGGCCTGCAGGTACACACAGAAAGGCTGCCTTTGTCTGCATCAGGGAACAGGTAACCATTTGTGCCTGCACTCTGTGTGTGTGTGTGTACGTGTGTACGTGTGTGTACATGGATGCAAACGTATGTGTGGGAGAGAGATAGGATTGACTGCCGTTGCCACAGGAGCAGGTGTGGCTTTTCAACAGCCTCATATTCACAGCATACAGCCCAAATGCGCTCGATAAAGAAAAGAAAGGTAAACTATTATTTCAGGTCTGTGAATCTCCAATCTTGATAAACAAAGTTATACTGCCAAGAAAAACCTTGAAGTATGCCGTCATAAGAGATGCTTCTATGTTCATGTAAAGTACAGGTGTACACTTTAATTTGATACTACTTACTGTGAAACATACGGATATCATAAAGATTTACAATGTGTCAGGATGAGTAGAGTTAAACACTAGTTACAAAAAAAACTCTGGAGGGTATATTTATTTTAGAATTATCCGTGACAAAGAGCCTGCAGTCTCTTGTTGTAGTACAAATAGATAAAGGGTTAAAAATTAACATTCACCCAGTGTGACATTCTCTTGCCCCACATTGCACTTTACAGTTACAGTACAAATTGGTCGTATTGTCCCAAAATGCAACACACAAAAATAATGGTAGAGTTGCTCACAGAGAAGAAAAACAGAGTGTTACTACTGCTTTTAGCAACAGCTTTCAAATAAAGAAATAATTTTTGTTTACTATTTGTGAAGATTCAAATTTGAACACGGACTAGATGTTTAAAGTGCTCAGAAATGTGGGAATGTGAACATCTACTGCAAGTCAGATCAACAACTTGTGATATGACAAAAACTCCCTAACAGCTGCTGAGTGTAATGTGTTTTTATCGAATGATGTTCACAAGGTCAAGAATGAACTGCTGTGCTGTATGGCATGGGGGCAAACATAGCTACCTTTTCTAAGCTAATGTGGCTAAGCTTACCTATTGTGCAGTGAATCCAGTCTACTTTGTTCAATATTACAAAGCAACAGATTTACGATATATGACCTAAGAGACCTTAAGCTAGCTTTAGCTTTAAGCTTTATACTTTTTGTTTTTCAAACAACTTTCTGGAGGGACTACAAATGACCTCTTCTACATAAAAGGGGGAGTAGCTAAATGACAGCTGTGTGCCTTTGTGTTTGAGTGTTTGTCTGTACCCTCTTAACAAATGTAAAAAAACAGATACACAGTTAAAAAACCTGACATTCAGACCGGATATCAACTTAAAAAAAAGCTATTGAGGCTAATTCATAGGCTAAATGCTACAATTGATAGCTTACTGCTCCTGGAAAACACAATGGTTGAGGAAGACTCGGGCCTGCAAAACATAGAAGTTGTTTGACATATACATTAAACAATATTATACAAACTAAAAACCTTTTTTGTGAAGTGTCGCTTTTTACTGCACTTGAAGTATTTCAAATGATAAGATCTGTGTTATTTGTACACTTCCTGTTACCTGGTGTTTTTGTCAGAAGTTAAGGATTATCTTTTCAGGAAGCAGGAGTGTGTGTGTGTGTGTGTGTGTAGTGTGGTGTGTGTGTGTGTGTGTTAGTGTGTTGTGTGTTGTGTGTGTGTGTGTGTGTTGTGTGTGTAGTGTGTGTAGTGTGGTGTGTGTGTGTTGTGTGTGTGTTGTGTGTGTGTGTGTGTGTGTGTGTGTGTGTGTGTGTGGTGTGTGGTGTGTGTGTGTGTGTGTGTTGTGTGTGGGTTGTGGTGTGTGTGTGTGGTGTGTGTGTGTTTGAACAGTCATGAGAGCTAACTTTATGACCCACTGCTAGGTTTCTCTAAGAGCTTTGCTAGCTAACGTTAGCTGACAGGAAGCTACACCAACAGCCAGAGTGATGGATGAGTTTGGATCACAGGTGAAAGGTGAGAGTGCTGAGGATGTGCTCTCTTCCTCTGTGTGTGTGTGTGTGTGTGTGTGGGTGTGTGTGTGTGTGTGTGTGTGTTGTGTGTGTGTGTGTGTGTGTGTGTGTGTGTGTGTGTGTGTGTGTGTGTGTGGTTGTGTGTGTGTGTGGTTGTGTGTGTTGTGTGGTGTGTGTGTGTGTGTGTGTGTGTGTGTGTGTATCTAGGTGTTAAGTACAGGGGCTGAATGCTATATGTAGAGAGGTCTTTAATTAGAGCAGGAAGAAACAGACCAGGAGACACTAGACTTAAGTGTGTGTGTGTGTGCGTGCGTGCGTGCGTGCATGCGTGTGACTATGCGTGTGACTGGGCAACTTCCTGTACGTTCCTGTAGTTTGATGGTCCACCTTTCTATTTCCAGGAGTGTCTGCTCAGTTTGTGTGTTGAAACATCTTAAATGAGGATGTATTAATCACAAAACGAACTGAAGCCAATAGAGGAAGTTATTCCTCCACCAACTCCTTCAGTTAAAAATCAACCAGCGGAGTGGTTTATTTAACGAACACAACACTACTAACTGTTAATCATAACTGAACTTAATGTGTAACAGCATCACTGAGCCAAGTTGCCAACAGTAAAATGTGTCCAGTCCACCAAATGTGGTTAGTGTAAGAGAGTTTTGATGTTCAACCCTTCTTACCCATGTTGTCTATATGAACTTTGAATCTTCAAAACTGATGAAAGATGGCAATTAAAAACAATATTAAAATAGTAATCTCAGAAAGGTGTCTTCGATTTAGAGGCATTTACAAAATACATAGAGGTCATTAAAACCCAGTCTCCTCACCTACACAGCTGGTTTTAGTGACCTAGTTTTAGTGACCTGGTCACTAAAACCAGGTCACTAAAACTAGGTCACTTATTTCATTTATTCCAGGATTTGATTAATTTTTTCTTATAATCTGTTTACTAGGAAATGAGTGTACTCCTAGAATAGCTTTAGTGTTTAAGTAAGGCTGTATGTATAAGTGTTTATTTTATATATAAAAATAATTAAATCACAATTTTTTACACCTACAGTATTAATGTAAAATGTTAAGGTTATTGTTACATCATTGTTTTTTTATATTCTTCAAAGGGTTGAGTTTATTGCCATCAAGGAATACACTGATACATTTAAAGAAATGTCATTGATTTCCTAAATGTGCATTTAAATGAAGTATTAATAAATCAAACAAAACCATAATAACGATCCTTTGATCCTACGATCCGATTGATTTGCCTGTTGGAACAGGCAAGTGTTTTTAGTAAAACACTGAACACTTATTTTCCCTCTCTTCTTTTGCAGCTCCCATGTGTTCGTTCAGCCATGCTTCCTGGGTATGGATTCTCACCTTTTCCTGACTTCCAACCTCACCTTCACGCTTTTCGCTGCCGAGGAGAGAGTCCCAGCATGTGGATCCCTGGCTCGGGGGAATCCCAGGCTCTGAGCGAGGCCCAGGAGGACAGGACTTTGCTCCACCCGTGCCGCCACAAGCATGTAGCAGTGTGCCAGCAGGAGACATTGGCCTTTATTGAGCTACAACCACCAGTGACTCCTAAACTAAACTGTCTTGGTTCTCCGAGGCCCCCTGCTATTCCAGAGGCACAATGCACTACACACACCCGGCCACTGAATGGTTTCAGACACACACTGAATGAACTGAATGACATGCAAAACCGCTGCCACAGGACAGACAATGAGCAGGAAACAATGCTGAATTTGAACTGTCACACATCTGCAGGTGACTGTGAGTTTGAATGTCTGAATGGCATCAGGACTTCTTTGCAGGAGCAGACAGAAAAGCCTCATTCTGTCACAACAGTATGTCGTCCTCTCCACGCAGCTCTTAGCCTCGATCTGCCTTTCCCTTTGTCCTCTCTTTACACTAACACAGACCCCTGGGAATCTCCTTGCTCTTCATCCTTACCTGAGGGTCCGGAGTGTCGAAGCCCAGGCTCCTGCCAGCCTCAGAGGAGGACGTCCCAGGGTTCACTGAAGGAGAAGTCTATGCGTGAGTGGGCAACGTTTTTTCACTATGGAGACACTTTAAAAAAAAAAATCAGGCTTGAAGAATACTTCATACACAAAACCATTATTTCAATATACATTATTCACCCCCCAATTTAACCTTGAATTCTTTAAGAAAACCATGTTTTTCTCAAATACCTCCAGTGTGGAGGAAGATTCCAAAACCAGAAAAGTCTTGATGAATTGAACTAAAAGTGGTCCGCGTCTTACAGAAAAATCGTATCAAATCATCCGTTCACCAACTCTCACACGTCTTCAAAAATAATATAATCATTTATCAAGGTTTATTCTAAGGACTTTACCTGCACATGGATTTTTGCTAAAGCCTTTCGCGTAAATAGCCTCGCTTTCACAGGTGCACTGTGAGTTTTTAAGAACCCAAAGTGTTTAAAATAGTATGATTTTAGTGAAAATGCATATGTTTGGCAGTATTGTACCGTTAGGTGTGCAAGAAAAACTAAGTTTTCTATAATAATTCAAGGTAAAGACACTATAATAACTCTTGGTACCACTTTACAATAAGACTAACCTTATAAAGGGTTTACGAATAGTTTGTAATTCATTTATTAATTAGGTTGTGAACACTTTATAAATCATTAATAAGCTTTTGTAAGACATGAGATAAACAGGTCAAACATGACCGGTTGCTTGCTAAATAGTGAGCCCACATTTATCTGTACTGCTAAGTGCTCTTCTTCATCAGCCAGCATCCTTGGTATCTGTTGCTCACTGAGTTGATTCTCCCCCTTCCATCTTGATGTTTCTTGGCATTTCTTTATGACCATTTATTTACGAGTTACTAACATTTATAACTGGTAAAAGGGAGCCTTATTGTAAAGTGTGAAACATATCACCATCTATTGATGAGTCACTAACATGTATAACTACTGAAAGGGTGCGTTGTTTTTAAGTTTAATACACATGTCCATTTATGAATGAGTTATAACATTCACGCTAACCTAATACACATTTTTCACATGAAATGCAAAGTAAGATGCAAAAGAGCCAAGCAAAACATTGTATTCACACATGAAGAAAATTAGGACTCAAAGTAATGACTGTTTAGTATGACTGATACACATATTTAAACATAAAAGCTTTTCTCAGACATAAATGAAAGTCTTATAAGGTGATATTCAGACTGGAAAGGCTGTGTGTAAATCCTTGAACAAGTGTCCAAGCAGTCCATCAGGGTGAGCAGAGCCAAGCCAAGATGACCATTCATGAACCTTGAGGTGTTCCTCCAACAAAACTCTCTGTACGGTTTCCTCTCAGTCTACGGACATGTCCTTTGACGGTCGACCAAGCTCTTTCATTATGTTGGGTATGACTGCCAGTCTGGAGGTTCACAAACCACCTGCTGTGGTTTATGGTGCAGTGGTTGTACCCCATGTTACTCAGCACTCTCCTGTATGCCCTCCACTCATCACTCATCATGCTACTTCCTGACTTAACATGCCGTCTAATCAGAGGGACAAGGTGGCATCTTGATCGTTTCTCCACTAGTTTCAACACTAGTCTCCGCCTTTTGTCTTTAACCATCATTCCAAAGACCCATTTCTTCCTTCTCCAGGTATTTCCAAAGCGTCCATGTGCATACTAACAAAACAAAAATCATAACATCATCTTAGTTAACAACAAAATGCACACAAATTACAGTAGAAATTGTTGCACATCATGTTTCAAAATGCCATACTTGTTTATTAGGTTTATATAACATCATTTAAGGATAATTATACAGCAATGGTCCGTATTGATTTTTAAAAAAAAGGAAAGTGTATTCTCTAGTACAAGAAAGCCCAGTCTCTAACGGCCGAACATAGGAACAGGGTACAGTACCTTCTCCTAGACACAAATACTAAAATAAAATAGTTTACTTTATCAGGATTGGTATTACCAATGCTTACTATTTATTTGATACCAATTTGGTAATACAATTAATAAAAAGAACAAGGTTTGGGTTCGTTCTTCAGATGACTGTGACATTAACATGTAAGCTCAATATTGAACTCCAGCTCAACCAACCATATTGTAATATCTAAGTAATCATCTTGAAATATGACATTATTATTTGTAATATACACACATCTTATAGTGAGGTTAATTTCACATACACTAGGCCGCTCTTCAACACTACGTTGACGTTAGCTTGTCTACATAATTGATCATAGCAAATTTAAATTAACCTTATCAATCAACCCAGTCTCACGGCATTCCGTGTAATAGTCACGAAATAAATGTAATCTATTGATTCGTGTTCACCAACACGATTTTCCCTTTTTTTCGTGTCACACAGAACGATTTTAAAAGCAATGTAAATAATAACAAATTAGAAGGAAAAAAGGATTAAAAAAAATACAGATTTCAGTATTCTGACACAGAACGATTTTAGAAGCAATGCATTTCTATTGGTAGTATGTTTCGTGCCTGCACCACGTCTTTTTGTCCGGTCGGGTCTTGGAAGACCGGAAGCTGTGGGGTTCATAAAAACATGTTCTTACTCAATATCAAGCCACGATTATTGTTTTTATTTTAAATTGTATAATGTCAGACTTTTTTTGCCGTCCGCGAGGAAAATAAATGGGGCTCAGAGCCTCAGAATACTGAAATCTGTATATATTTAATATTTTTTTCCTTCTAATTTGTTATTATTTGGTGCAGGTACGAAACATACTACCAATAGAAATACATTGCTTCTAAAATCGTTCTGTGTTAGAATACTGAAATCTGTATTTTTTAAAATCTTTTTTTCCTTCTAATTTGTTATTATTTACATTGCTTTTAAAATCGCGTGACACGAAAAAAATGGGTAAATCGTGTTGTTGAACACGAATCAATAGATTATTTTCGTGACTAGAACACGAAATGCCATGAGACTGGGTTGTATCAATGCATAAAGTTACCTACCTAATAAAATATCTCTCTAAGTTACAAGGATGACCTTATTTTACCAACCTCAAACAGAAGCCGTTTGTTTTACAGTATTATTCAACTTAATGCTTAACATTTCTCTATTAGGTTTTAACTTGGAGGCTACGATTAGCATCGTTAGCACAGATGTAGCTACCACTCGCTTACTAGGCCTACATGTTAACCCAAGCCTTAACATTCATTAACGTTAGCTGACTAAAAACATAAACACATAAATAAAGTACTCAGTACTAATTTCATTTACCGCAAAACCGCATTCATGCACCATCTGTTTTAAACGCGGAGCGAGTCACAATAGTCCGATATAAGCATGAAGAATAGTCCACAAGGCACCAGCACAACAAACACGGCCGAGTTCAAGTTATGTTCCCCGGATGAGCTGAGCCCCTGTAGCATCACGGAGCAGCTAGCAGAGAGACAGGAAGCTAACAGCAGCAGTCACTGGAATGAGAATGACCTGTCAATCAATGTGCCCTAATGTATGCATAACTTTCAGGCTTAATATAACAAATTATAAATGGTAGTAACTCATTAATAAATGGTGATTTGTTTAACACTTTACAAGGCTCCCTTTTGGCAGTTATAAATGTTAGTAACTCGTAAATAAATGGTCATAAAGAGATGCCAAGAAACATCAAGATGGATGGGGGGAGAATCAACTCAGTGAACAACAGATACCAAGGATGCTGGCTGATGAAGAAGACGAAGTAAGCTAGGTAGCCAATATAAGGCTTAGTCAAATAGTGAGCCTGTGTTGATGTATGAAATCTATATTAGAACTGGTTTATAAATGGTTCTTAATGATTAATAAAGTGTTTACAACCTAATTATAAACCCTTTATGAATCCTTTATAAGGGTAGTCTTATTGTAAAGTGGTACCTAACTCTTAACATGATTGTTCTTAATCTCATGGAGTTATTTTTCTTGTTTCCAGGGAGAAAGATGCAGATTTATTCCCCAGACAGCCCGAGCGATGAATCCCTCAGCAGCCCGATCCTGGACGCAGACTACCTCTTCCCAGGACCCTTTGCTTCTTTCCTTGAGGAGGACCTCAGTGGATTATCTTCCCTGGAGGCCATTTCAAGCCCCTCCTCTGTAGACGGCTTCTCAGATCTCCCAAACCTCAGTGAGGAGGATATTTTTAATCTACCTGAAGAACCCCTACACATAATAGAGGACTCACTGCCGGGGCTGGGGGACGACAGCGGGGGTGTAGAGACGTCCAGTGCCACAGGGGGGAGCTTTTTGTCCCGCAGCCGTCAGGGGGATCAGGAGCGACGGCGCTTCTCGGCCTCAGAGCTGATCTCTAGACTGCAGCTGTCTCAGAGGAAGAGCTCCTTCACACTGAAGCTGGGGAAATCTCTGTCAGCTCGAGTGGCCTCCAGAGACCGACAGAGCACCATCAGCCTCGGGCCCAACGCTGACTGTGAGTCCAGAACAGGTCCAACATCACGGTCCATTTCAATCAGAGGTGGTTCCATCAACACAGCTTAGCAAGTAGTTGTTGTATAAAAACCTTTTTCAAATAAATACCCAACTGTAGTATGAAAAAAAAATAGCCATTAACGCATTGTGCCTAGTCTTGCATAATTCTTAACTTTATTGCTGAAATATTTAGTCAATTAATTTGTAATGGCAGAAAATGCTATATATTTTGGTTTTGGACTGTTGATAAAAAAAACAATTGGATGCCATTACTTATGGATCTGGGTATTTGCACTGGTAATTTTTTGTCATTATATCCTGACAATTAAAAAGGACTATGCATGCACTATGATTCGATATGTTATGTCCATAACATCATGATTGATTGGAAATTGTCTTATTGAGCTCACTTTAAAAAAAGCAAAGCAAAACATTACAGATTTAATATCCATGCCTATAAAATTAAATTAAATCTAACTCAGAGGAACAACTCTTGAAAGAAAAATGGCATTATATACAGATTTAAAAATAAAAAATGTGCAGAATCATCAAGGATCTAGAACATTATTATCAGATTTGATGGAAATGGAAATACTCTCTCCCTCTTTACTGTATATATAGTATACAAATATTTGAAACATAATAGGGAAAATAATATAGTTATAAGATTGATAGATTAACAGTAATCAACTAGCTTGAAAAAGCTTATTATGTCAAGAAGCTGTATTTTCACTTCTTAAGAATCTTAAAGTCACTAAACATCCATGAAAGTGGATCGGGGCTTGCTTCACACCTTGTGCTTTTTATCCTCTCTAGATAAGTCCAGCTCGAGGCACCGCAGCTCCGGAGGCTCCAGTGACAGCGCCCCCCACAGTCCTGTAGGACCCCCACCCGCTCTGTCAGGCAGCGACAATGGCATGCATAGGTGGAGCACCAAACTCGGGTAAAAACATACTTTGTATATTTTCAGACATACACAGCAACAATTGAAGGACCTATAATAATGTCAGGTCACTCTTTTTATTTTTGACAGAATGCGAAAGAAATCCCTGGAGGAAGACTGCACACTTCCAATCGTCACCAGTGTTAATCGCTTATCACGGTTTTTGCCTAGCTGTAAGTTTCACTGAACTATATTTGTTTTTCAGAACTATTTTGCCATCAAACCTTTTGTATTATACTCAATTATTTTCTATATTCGCTTGCTCTTGGTTTCAATGATATCCAATGTAATATTTCTTACTACATATATTGTTATGTTATAAAACAAACTTTACCTTTGTACTATATCTCATATCCAAGATCATCTTACTGTATCATCTTGTACTATTATACTAATGTATTTCATTTCATTTTTATTTGTTCCGTTCATGGTATGCAAAACTTAATGTATAATAATTGTTTACAAAACATGTCTCTGTAAACACACCATACCCGAAAAGGAGCAGGGAGAAGAAAATAATCTTATATTACCTGCCCCTTTCTAAAAAAAACTAAATAATTGATATTTATTTTTCACAGCCAAACATAACAGTATCGTAGGATAATAAGAGAAACAAAAACAATACTTATTTCCCACTTGACAGTTAACGGAAAGAAACAAAACAAAAAAACAACAACCCCAAACATCACATGTACAAGGCAAAGTGCAACACCCTCATCTGAATCCTACTGGAGAAGAAGGTGGAAAGCGGCGCATAATCATCATAATAATGGAATTTGATTTACTTTCATGTTTTATTCTTATTTTTGTTTCTCATTTGTTATGAGTTGAATTTCTGTACGTTTGTTGTCTTTGTGTTGATGTAACAAACACATTTCCCCTCTAGGAATATATATATTTTAATTACACTGAACAAAAATATAAATGCAACACTTTTGTTTTTGCTCCCATTTTTCATGAGCTGAACTCAAAGATCTAAAACATTTTCTATAAACACAAAATAACCATTTCTCTCAAATATTGTTCACAAATCTGAAAAGATCTGTGATAGTGAGCACTTGTCCTTTGCCGAGATAATCCATCCCACCTCACAGGTGTGGCATATCAAGATGCTGATTAGACAGCATGATTATTGCACAGGTGTGCCTTAGGCTGGCCACAATAAAAGGCCACTCTGAAACGTGCATTTTTGCTTTATTGGGGGGGTCTGGGGGGGTCCGAAAACCAGTCAGTATCTGGTGTGACCACCATTTGCCTCACGCAGTGCAACACATCTCCTTCGCATAGAGTTGATCAGGTTGTTGATTGTGGCCTGTGGAATGTTGGTCCACTCCTCTTCAATGGCTGTGCCAAGTTGCTGGATATTGGCAGGAACTGGAACACGCTGTCGTATACGCCGATCCAGAGCATCCCAAACATGCTCAATGGGTGACATGTCCGGTGAGTATGCTGGCCATGCAAGAACTGGGATGTTTTCAGCCTCCAGGAATTGTGTACAGATCCTTGCAACATGGGGCCGTGCATTATCATGCTGCAACATGAGGTGATGGTCGTGGATGAATGGCACAACAATGGGCCTCAGGATCTCGTCACGGTATCTCTGTGCATTCACAATGCCCTCAATAAAATGCACCTGTGTCCGTCGTCCATAACATACGCCTGCCCATACGCCTGCCCATACCATAACCCCACCACCACCATGGGCCACTCGATTCACAACATTGACATCAGAAACCGCTCACCCACACAACGCCACACACGCTGTCTGCCATCTGCCCTGAACAGTGAAAACCGGGATTCATCCGTGAAGAGAACACCTCTTCAACGTGCCAGACGCCATCGAATGTGAGCATTTGCCCACTCAAGTCGGTAACGACGACGAACCGGAGTCAGGTCGAGACCCCGATGAGGACGACGAGCATGCAGATGAGCTTCCCTGAGACGGTTTCTAACAGTTTGTGCAGAAATGCTTTGGTTATGCAAACCGATTGTTGCAGCAGCTGTCCGAGTGGCTCGTCTCAGACGTTCTTGGAGGTGAACATGCTGGATGTGGAGGTCCTGGGCTGGTGTGGTTACACGTGGTCTGCGGTTGTGAGGCCGGTTGGATGTACTGCCAAATTCTCTGAAACGCCTTTGGAGACGGCTTATGGTAGAGAAATGAACATTCAATTCACGGGCAACAGCTCTGGTGGACATTCCTGCTGTCAGCATGCCAATTGCACGCTCCCTCAAAACTTGCGACATCTGTGGCATTGTGCTGTGTGATAAAACTGAACATTTTAGAGTGGCCTTTTATTGTGGCCAGCCTAAGGCACACCTGTGCAATAATCATGCTGTCTAATCAGCATCTTGATATGCCACACCTGTGAGGTGGGATGGATTATCTCGGCAAAGGAGAAGTGCTCACTATCACAGATTTTTTCAGATTTGTGAACAATATTTGAGAGAAATGGTTATTTTGTGTTTATAGAAAATGTTTCAGATCTTTGAGTTCATCTCATGAAAAATGGGAGCAAAAACAAAAGTGTTGCATTTCTATTTTTGTTCAGTGTAATTAAACTATCACATCCTTTTTTTACTTTCCCGCAGCGATCCTGTACCAGGAATACAGCGACGTGGCCATCAACAGAGAGATCCAGAGGCAGCAGGGGAAGGAGCCTGGCCCAGAGGAGGAGGGTCTCAGGGACGAGGGGTCAGACGGGACCCCCTCTCCGTCCAATCTGTCCCCGTCCAGCTCCTTCCGCTCCTCACAAGGCTCTGCCTTTGCACTTTGGCAGGACATCCCCGATGTTCGCTCCAGCGGCCAGCTCGACAACTTCAGCAACGAGGAGCGGAAATTACAGGAAGTAAGTTTGACTTAGGAGACCTCCTGCTTGTTTTATGTGCTTTAAACAACTGGTTAACAAACCCTGTATCACTACACTCAGGCCAAGTTTGAGCTGGTGACATCAGAGGCGTCGTATATTCGCAGTTTGACCATTGCAGTGGACCACTTCATGTTGTCGCAGGAGCTCGCAGAGTGTATCGGGACTCAGAACAAGCAGTGGCTCTTCTCGAAGCTGCCTGAAGTCAAAGGCGTCAGTGAGAGGTGAAGAAAAACGCCCCTTCAAATTCTACATGAAACACCTCAGAGCATGTCCTTTTTCTAAAGGGGTTTTCTGCTATTGCACAGGTTTCTTCAGGACCTGGAGCACAGGCTGGAGGAAGACATTCTGCGTTTCGATGTGTGCGACATCGTCCTGGATCACTGCCCGGCCCTGCGGAGGGTTTATTTACCTTATGTGACCAACCAGGCGTACCAGGAGCAGACGTACCAGCGTCTGCTGTGAGTTACCGCTTTGCTTATGTGTACCATATCAGCTGTTTGAGACCTTAACATATATATAATGTATCCAGGGCTGTGCATAAAATCCAATTGTCTGGATGTCCATCATTTCCTCTCAGGGTGTTCGGATATTATTTCACACCTGCCTGACTTAACTTGCAGATGTTTCTTCTCTAGGAGGCTGCACATTTTTTTCTCAGGGTGAAAAGCATGCTGGAATGTACCTTCACCTCTCGAGAAGAAATCATTAAAGTGTCTCGTCTTGTCCTCTCAGGCACGAGAACCCTCGCTTCCCCGGGATCCTGGCTCGTCTGGAGGAGGACCCCGTCTGTCAGAGACTTCCTCTCACCTCTTTTCTGATCCTCCCGTTTCAGAGGATCACACGGCTGAAAATGCTGGTGGAGGTACACGCTTAGACATTTATGCAGGATTCATGTCCGCACTTGAAACCCAATTACGGATGATATTTGAGCAGGTTTTATCCAACAACAGAGTATTGTCTTTCTCTTTTGGTTCAAAAACGTCTTTATTTTTCAGAACATCTTAAAGAGGACGACACCGGGCTCCCGAGATGAGGACACTGCCACGAAAGCTTTCAATGAGCTAAAAAAGGTGGTGATTATCATCTGTAATAGCCAGTTGGATGAGCACCAGTATTATCCACGGTGGTGAGGCATTACAGTAATAACCATGTTGGTGTGCGTCTTCTTAGATCATCAAAGAATGTAACTCCAGCGTGCAGTCGATGAAGAGGATGGAGGAACTGATTCACCTCAATAAGAAAATCAACTTTGAGGGAAAGGTGACTTTTATGAATTGTCTTTCCTTTTTTTAACCTGCGTTTTTAACATTTAACATATTTTATATTCCGGAACTATTTTCTTTCCTTGGTAGATCTTCCCTCTGATCTCTCAGTCCCGCTGGCTGGTGAAACACGGAGAGCTGCTGGAGGTGGACACGCAGATGATGAGTATTTCTGGATCAAAGCTGAAGTTGCCCACCAAGCCGGTGTACCTCCACCTGTTCAATGACTGTCTGCTGCTGTCCAGGAGGAAGGAGTGAGTGATTGCAGTCCTTATAAGAGACGTAAACGTTAATATTGCAGTTTAATGAGTCATAATAGGTCAAAAGCAGCATTTTAGAATATGGGTTGAATGAAAGTTAAAGTGTAAGTCCATATATGCACATTTAAAGAGAAATGGGGGTCCCAACCATTGCTGCCCTCTATAAAGACTGCACACCCCACATTAAGACTGCATTAGTGTTCAGCAAAAAGAAATATAGTAATTTTTACTTTACTGGATTCATCTACATTTTCAGTTAATACTATTAGTAGTTACTTTGGAAAAAAATGTTTTGCATGCAAACAGATCAATATTTTATAAATATATGTTTCGTTCTCAAATAAACTACTCAACCAATTATTTTGATTCATTATCTAGTTAATTAAAAAACACATTTTGGTGATGATTTGTTTACAAGATTACTATTAGACTGTTTTTATTACTTTATGTACGATTTCCTAGTTAAACTTACTAACTTGACTTTCGTTACATTTTTTAATGCGGGACTTTTACATGTAACAAAATATTATAGAATACTTCCATACACCATCAATATGACTTAAGAAAATGCTTAAACAGCTAAACAATTCTACACATGGTGGCTTCAAAGATTCAGTTAATAATATATATTTTTTAAAGCACATTCTTAGTGATTTTGATAATAAAACTGTGTATTTCTTGCAGCACGTGGAAGTTCATGGTGTTTGTCTACGCTAAGATAGGAGAGCTGAAAGTGAAGGATCTCAGTCAGAAGCTGCAGGGCATCTCAGGCTTCATCTTCCACCTGCAGCTGTGTGAACGCCAGCAGCTCAAACACCAGATCCTGCTCAAGTCCAACACGGAGTGAGTCACAACGAAAGCATTTAGCTTCAGTACCGACAGTTTGCTTTAGCACAGGATGCCCTAACTTTCCTTATTTGTGTCTGCCAAGGAGCGGGAAGCAGAGATGGATCACAGCCATGTTTCCATTTGATCCGCTGGAAGACATCGGGCACGCCACTGAGAATGACGGTCAGTAAAAGCTATTTCAATCAATCAAATTGTATTTACAGTATATAGCCCAATATGACACATATCAACATTTGTTTAGGGGCTTTACAGTGTAAAGGAAAAACTCCCAAAGAAATCCCCAAAATAGGAAACAAATGGAATAACCCTCTGGGACCCTTCTGCTGTATAACACAAAGTCTTTCTCTGGTATTATTTGACTCATCAAGACTCAACTACAAGTCTTACTTGAGTAATCTTATGATGGAGACGGGCGCATATTACACTTACACATGGCACATCAACAACAAAATGGCAGCTCCAACGGAAATGCTACAGCTGAGCTAAATGGATTAGCTTCCTCAGGGGTGATCTCAAAAATGGAAAAAAACCTCTGGAAGATCAACGAAGGAGGATGTTGTGCAAAATATGTTGTGTAGAGATATAAAAAGATAATACAGTTACAACCTGGCCCTCCAAATGACAAAAAATGATTATATTAAAAAATGATTATTCACGAGGATGTCAAAGGTCTTCCGGATGCCGCCAAAAAAGTAATCATCTTAAACCTTTTTATCCTGCCGTTCATCATTTCCGTGTGTTTCCCTCTCAGATATAGCCCAGGTTCAGTGCATCAAAAGCTATCAGGCCCAGGAGCACGACGAGCTAACCCTGGAGAAGGCCGACATTCTTCACGCTAAGACCATTACAAGTGATGGTAAGGATTGGGAACAACTCCACTTTTGTGTGTGTGTGTGTCAGGGTTTCTCCAATGTGTTGAGTTATCTAATCTTTCTCCAGGCTGGGTGGAGGGCATCAGACTGTCTGACGGGGAGCGGGGCTGGTTCCCCAAAACCTACGTGGAGGAAATCACGAGTCGCAGCGCTCGCCTCCGCAACCTCCGGGAAAATATCCGCATTAAATGTGTCACGCAGAAACTGAAGGGGGGCGACTGACTGCAGCTTGCCGAAGGTGCATTTCACCTGCTGAGTTGCACTTAAAGTTACACAAAACTCCAAATGCTTTCTCCTCAAGTCCTACACTTTGGGCTTAATTTATCCTTAGCTAAGGGACTTGCTTAAGAGTGGTGCACAGAATCTTAAAGGTTTTCTTAAGGCATTTTTTGCATGAAAAGAGATTTTACCATAATGAAAGACTTATAATTAGTGATATCTGCATCTTCTCACCAATTTGGCCTCTTGATTGTGTTTTTTACTGTTGCTCAAGAAAAAAAGAAGACGAGAGATCCAAATTAGTCAGAGAAGTAAAACATTACACTTATGGAGGAATACAAAGAACTGTAAACAACAAATGTGGGAGGAAGTAGTGGATGGATGTGGGACCGAAAATATGTTGAGTACGCAGGTGCTTAACCCTCCAACACTTTTTACCTTGTGAGAACATTTTCGCATGCTGGATGAAAGTGGAAATTAAAAAGCTTTTGATGCCCTTGTCCATTTTTAGATGAAAAGGTTTTTATACAATGACTTTGTAGACAAACGTTTCCACCTGGACAGTTCTAACATTTTTGCCACTCAATCACTTTATGACTGTTTTCTATGAATGCACCCATCACCATTTCAAAAGCCTGAGAAACATGCACATTTACAGCACAGGAAATACATGTTATCATTCCTTGGTTGATGTCAGAGTTAGTTTTTATCCTGTCATGTCTCATATGGACAGATTCCCTTTAAGCAGTCCACGTATTCAACAAACATGTGCCCTAGTTACTGAAATAAATAAAAGCCTGGTGCAACAGTTTATTAATTCCACGTGTTAAATGTTGGACTGTTAAAACATGTTTTCCCCTTATTAAGAGAGCGACTCTCTCCCCTTAGGCACTGTCAATGTCTGTCTGTAGTAACTGTTTTGCATGACTGCATGAACTCTGATGGTTGTCTAATAAGGCAGCTGCAGAATGATGGTTTATTTTAAATTTTCTAATGATTTCACAATTCTTTGAAACACAAATGAAGGACAGACTTTCCTCTAAACAAGCCTGCACCACACAACTTCTGTTGTTCCTAATCTGACTAAAGGATTACACTGTCTATATTCTGTATTTGTATTATTATCAAGAAATCCCACGAACAGATCGAAAGAACAACAATGTACTTATCTTTCTGACAAGTATTATTAGTGTGGCTACTTCCTGATATCTTCCTGTGTGCCATAAAGCTCCATAGTTTTCCAAAAACTATTAGAAACACAAACTTGATCACACTAATACAGTATGTGACATCATTACCATGAACACACACACTGGAATGTACCCCAAATGTCACTGTATTCCTCCACCGCTAGAAATAGTCCATAACTAATGCACTACTTACTTTAGTTTCAGTAAAATGTGCTGAAAACTAGAGTGACCAGCTGTTTAAGTGAATAATTAAGCCTTTGTAATATTGAAATTATATATAGAGTGGTGCAAGAAAACGAGTTAGCATTTTAGCACTTGGGGGTTTCCTCATCTCTCTATTTTATTTTCAATAAAACTTTAATAATTTAATTTAACAAAACTCCTGTTGTTGTACGACATAAAATATATCAGTAAAAACCCAAACCATGGATGTCTGATGTGGTGTCGTAAAAGCCGCGGCTGCTAACAAGTGGCTAAGTGAGACTAAATCTCATCATGCTAACCATTAGCTGCCTTTAGCTTAGCCGTGGGAACATCAAGTCATGCATCCGTGATTTAGCTCGTTTATAGCATAACTTTAGCTATTTACTTCTGAAGATTGCATTTACGCTACAATATTTTTTTTTTTAAAAGAAGGAAAAAAAGGTAGTCGAGAAAGCCCCTGAGAAGCCCACTTGTGTTTCTGTCTCATTTTAAAGAATTCGGTCACCAGTAGGAACTGGTTTGGCTCGGAGCTGAAGGCCACAGACAGTTAACAGAGGCTTGGTGTTTTGTTTTATTTCATGGTATTTGTTGACAGTCAAAAAATACAACTAAATGTCTGGAAATTGACACCTACTGATATCACCTCTTGACGACACCATTGTTGTGGTGAAAGTAAAACATTGTGCTTCCTGTTTACTACTTTTAAGCTTTAGCCCCAGTTGAATAAAAGCTAGACTATGTCGTGTTATGCTAATCATACAGGGCCAAGTAATACTGTCATACACGAAGCACTGAATGACATTTCGGTCTAAATCGGTCCCCTTATACGTGTACAAATGACCAAAAGCGCAGTGTAACTGAGCTGTGACCTGCTGTTAATGAACCACTATAATCAACTCTTCCAGTGGCACATTAAATGTTTATAACCCCTTTATATTTCTCTATATGCGTTGTTAGTTGTAATTTAAGTGGTTGCTGTTGCAGCATGTGTATTTATACTCCTCTAGCTGGTTGTTCTCTAAGGAGATTCTGATGTAAATGTACTTTACTGTAGATGGCTTCATGTGTAAAGAGTAGAAAATGGTTCAGTTACTATTTTGACTGTAATTTATATGAACAAAAATGTAATACATTTTATAATTACATTCCACTACTATAAACTTTTTTTTATAATTTTCATTTCTAATACCACATTATAAATACTGTAATACACTGGATGTTTACTGGATCTCTGCACACTACTGTAAATGTTTAACCATGGAAATAAATACAGATTCTTTCATTTTATGTGTTGAATAAATGACTTTCAAAACTTAAATCAAAGAATTTATTGTCAAAAATTCAAACCTTGTGCATTTGATTTTAATTACATCCAAGCTTAATACTGTATGTACAATTTCCTCAACACTATTTTCTTCAGAAACTTTTACAATCTCCACACTAACATGTCTACCGCTGTTGAACTGGGTCATGACCTTCCTGTTTGTCCCCACATCAAAGCGAACACTGTCAAACGGTGATCATATTTCAGAGCCTCCTCCTCTATTGTCTCCATTTCGTATCAACATTACTCAAACAAGTGATATGTACACATTATCTACACATTATTTCAGATTTTCCACCTTCAGGTAACTCAGCTGCGTCCGTTGATGTCATGTTGGTCCGCTGTTATCATCGGTTCCTGGGACTCCTTCCTGCTCCTCTGCAGCTTGGGCATGATGGGAGGAGGAGCGTGACTCACTGCAACGTGGCTGTTTCTGTCTGGCTGCAGGTCAAACAGAAAATCTTGTTGAGCTTTTTTGGGATTTAAGGTATTCAACATCCCTTTGGCACACATGAATATTTCATGCAAACCCAACCTCAATAAATCCATTACTGTTTCATACGGTGTCAAATTGAGAAGTGATGCCTCACGTTGGAATGACCCGATTGACATTACACTCTTTACAGTCATTGGATTAAACCAGAATGATTTTGATCCCAAACAAGTTCCTACAAGTTCATTTTCATACTAAACTAATCCAAACCAGTGGCTGCCCAACATTAGGAATGAAATGTAAATCTGCAGGATGCAATAGTAAATGGTGCGTAGTAACTGGGTTAAAATGGGAGGTCTCAAATCTTAAATTCGGAAGGCCAATTTGTATGTAGACATTGAAACCATTGTATATCCAGCTGTGGATGTTTTGGTGCTTATGTGCACATTTTTTAATACAGATGTGCAAGTTTTCGGTTGGCATGTGTGCATTTTCAAAGCATGTGCAGTTGTTAAAAGTGTATATGTACGTATTTGTGCAAGTTTTGTGTGCACAAGTTCCCATTTGTACAGTGTGAAAGGGTATGTGGACATACAGTGTGTTTTCAAACAAATTGGCTTCCGAAACTTAAACATAATGATTTTGTGGCCACTTGGGGGCAATAGCAACAAACTATACACACTATTTATATACTAAAGGTTTAATGGACTGCATTTATAATACACATACAGTATGGCTGAATGGGGAGGTAAAGCAATGCAAAGCAAGAAGCTTGAATCGTTTATCAGAATTGGCACATCCTGTTGATAGGACGCAAAAATGATAACTTTGTTTTGGGCTCCACCAACCACTGAGAAAAATATATTTACCATTAGCTGTTAAGCGTTCAACTAATATATCAGTAAAAAAGTTTTTGTAATGCCTTAAATAATACACCAGTTCTGAAGTTTCCCTCAGCTCTACTTAGCTTTTTAGCCTCTTATAGCTAATGTTTCACAGCCAATGGATTATTCTAAACAATGTTATATAGACAGCGGTTCTAACCTGTTGTAATTGAAACATCCAGTTCCGATAATCCTCGTAACAGGTACAAGAGACCTGCAGGGGCTCCACCAGCTCTCCTAAAACGAAATATGTATTACATTAAATACCTGTATTACTCATCTGATTTACAGAAAATGTATTTACGCTCTCTGTATACCTATCAGCTCAAACTCAAGCCGCCCAGGCAGAGCTGACCTCTCCACCGCTCTGATGCTCTGTCGGGGCAACCGGCCCTGTTGGAGATGACAGAAGAAAAGGAAATACTTGATATTTTTGAAAAATGTATCATGCTTTTACCAGAAGAACCTCATATTTGCTACTGACTGAAATGCATCAAGTGCTGTAGGACATGCCTAATGTCATGTGTCTACAGACCAAGTTAAAGATGACTGGGACAGGTAGTTATGCCACAGCGGTTGAGGGGGTATTATTATGGATTTTTCCTATAGAGTCATTTTACACTACCTCATATCTTATATTCAGACGCTTGTTGTCGACTGACAGTAGCAGCACGTCTTGAGGGAAGAGAACCATCAATCTTTCTTGGAGACCCTGGAAGAAAAAAAACATGTCACTGTCAATGTCTCAAGAGATACTATATTGTGATACTTTAAATAATGTTCTCTTTAATTTACAGTAGTATAGTATATACAAATGTTACTAAGTCAAAGGGGGTAAGAAGAAGGCTAATATTTGGCCTCATTGGGCTTTGATATTCCAGTTTAGCGAATTTAGCATTATAGTTTTACATTATTTATAGAAAAGAAGGCGAATAAAAATACAGTTTATTAAACCTGAGTTAGCCTTTAACATAAATAATGTTCATGTTTATTGAAGATACCATGATACCATCATTGAGAGCAGCTTCTACTGTATATGCCACCTTTTGTGCTAGTCATATTTACACTGAACAAAAATATAAATGCAACACTTTTGTTTTTGCTCCCATTTTTCATGAGATGAACTCAAAGATCTAAAACATTTTCTATAAACACAAAATAACCATTTCTCTCAAATATTGTTCACAAATCTGAAAAAATCTGTGATAGTGAGCACTTCTCCTTTGCCGAGATAATCCATCCCACCTCACAGGTGTGGCATATCAAGATGCTGATTAGACAGCATGATTATTGCACAGGTGTGCCTTAGGCTGGCCACAATAAAAGGCCACTCTGAAACGTGCAGTTTTGCTTTATTGGGGGGGTCCGAAAACCAGTCAGTATCTGGTGTGACCACCATTTGCCTCACGCAGTGCAACACATCTCCTTCGCATTGAGTTGATCAGGTTGTTGATTGTGGCTTGTGGAATGTTGGTCCACTCCTCTTCAATGGCTGTGCCAAGTTGCTGGATATTGGCAGGAACTGGAACACGCTGTCGTATACGCCGATCCAGAGCATCCCAAACATGCTCAATGGGTGACATGTCCGGTGAGTATGCTGGCCATGCAAGAACTGGGATGTTTTCAGCCTCCAGGAATTGTGTACAGATCCTTGCAACATGGGGCCGTGCATTATCATGCTGCAACATGAGGTGATGGTCGTGGATGAATGGCACAACAATGGGCCTCAGGATCTCGTGACGGTATCTCTGTGCATTCACAATGCCATCAATAAAATGCACCTGTGTTCGTCGTCCATAACATACGCCTGCCCATACCATAACCCCACCACCACCATGGGCCACTCGATTCACAACATTGACATCAGAAAACCGCTCACCCACACGACGCCACACACGCTGTCAGCCATCTGCCCTGAACAGTGAAAACCGGGATTCATCCGTGAAGAGAACACCTCTCCAACGTGCCAGACGCCATCGAATGTGAGCATTTGCCCACTCAAGTCGGTAACGACGACGAACCGGAGTCAGGTCGAGACCCCGATGAGGACGACGAGCATGCAGATGAGCTTCCCTGAGACGGTTTCTGACAGTTTGTGCAGAAATTCTTTGGTTATGCAAACCGATTGTTGCAGCAGCTGTCCGAGTGGCTGGTCTCAGACGTTCTTGGAGGTGAACATGCTGGATGTGGAGGTCCTGGGCTGGTGTGGTTAAACATGGTCTGCGGTTGTGAGGCCGGTTGGATGTACTGCCAAATTCTCTGAAACGCCTTTGGAGACGGCCTATGGTAGAGAAATGAACATTCAATTCACGGGCAACAGCTCTGGTGGACATTCCTGCTGTCAGCATGCCAATTGCACGCTCCCTCAAAACTTGCGACATCTGTGGCATTGTGCTGTGTGATAAAACTGAACATTTTAGAGTGGCCTTTTATTGTGGCCAGCCTAAGGCACACCTGTGCAATAATCATGCTGTCTAATCAGCATCTTGATATGCCACACCTGTGAGGTGGGATGGATTATCTCGGCAAAGGAGAAGTGCTCACTATCACAGATTTTTTCAGATTTGTGAACAATATTTGAGAGAAATGGTTATTTTGTGTATATAGAAAATGTTTTAGATCTTTGAGTTCATCTCATGAAAAATGGGAGCAAAAACAAAAGTGTTGCATTTATATTACGTTACATTACATTACATTGCATTTAGCTGACGCTTTTATCCAAAGCGACTTACAATAAGTACATTCGACCAGGAAGACACAACCTTGAAGAAAACAGAATCATATAAGTACATCAGGTTTCATAGAGCCAAACATTTCAAGTGCTACTCAACTGGCTTTAGGTAAGCCAGTCCTTTATTTGTATAAAAGTGCTTCGTTAATAGTTCTAACGCTCGAAGTGGAGTCGAAAGAGATGAGTTTTCAGTTTGCGCCGGAAGATGTGCAAGCTATCTGCCGTCTTGATGTCAATGGGGAGCTCATTCCACCATCCTGGAGCCAGGATAGCAAACCCACGTGTTTTCGCCGATGGGAACTTGGGTCCCCCTCGCAGCGAGGGTGCAGCGAGTCGTTTGGCTGATGCAGAGCATAGTGCACGCGCTGGGGTGTACGGTTTAACCATGTCCTGGATGTACGAAGGGCCAGATCCATTCGCAGCATGGTAAGCAAGTACCAGTGTCTTGAAGTGGATTCTAGCAGTTACCGGAAGCCAGTGAAGGGAGCGGAGGAGCGGCGTGGTGTGGGAGAATTTAGGAAGGTTGAAGACCAGACGAGCCGCTGCATTCTGGATGAGCTGCAGAGGTCGGATGGCACATGCAGGTAGACCAGCCAGGAGGGAGTTGCAGTAGTCTAGGCGTGAGATGACGAGAGCCTGGACCAGAACCTGAGTCGCTTTCTGTGTCATCTGGGGACGTATCTTCCTGATGTTGTATATTTTTGTTCAGTGTACAATAAAACCACCACTTGGTTAAAAGTGACACCTTTTTAACCACTTTAGAAAACATATTAAGATAAAATCTCTGTGCAACAGAGATTTTCCTTCTAGGCTTGAAAGAAATGTGGTATTGAGTTTCAGATACTAAGAAGTATTCTTGTAATAGTGGTTCCTCTGGTTATTGGTGGTAAGTATTGAAGGCCAGAGAATACGTGAGTAAACCCAATCTAAACACTTGTGTGTATACTCTCTTTTTGAATGTTATCAGCTCATTGAGTAGTCGTTATCAATTGTTATCCTTAACATTTAACATTTTCAGACAGGGCATGTGAAACAGTCGCAATTGTAGACACGTGGTTAATGTCGTGAATTAAACAAAATACTTGTTTAGATTTTGGAATAGTTGATGGTTTCAGGTCAAATGAGTGGGTTTGTTAGGTAACTTTAGTAAGGTCATATCAATTAAGTCTTTCACGTGCGTTATCTGAGTAAAAATAAGTCAACATTAGGTTTTAATTTCAATTGGACACAAACAGCAGTGTGTTTGGTTGACCCATTTATCTACCCAACTTCCTCCCTGTACTGACTTTGTTGCTCTTTATACTTAATGATCTGTTTTTGTCTAGTCATAATAACTACTGCCACTAGAGGCTGCTGGTAATGCATTTTGAACCTCTCTGCATGATCAAGCTTACCAATCGATGAAAACAAGCACCTGAGCCAACTAAGAAGTAGAAAAGAGCCATACCACCTTAAATCTACGCTCCAGATGAAACCTGATAATGGCAATTTAATAGGCCAATAACACTTCAAGTGGATTCTGTTTAATTCTGTCTCTCTCATTGTTCAACCTGTGCTCATTTACAGATTCTATACACTGTTTAAAGAGTTGTTCTCACCTGTCTCTGTGAGTTGATGATGTGAACGATAGATATGTATCCCGGCTGACCCATGTGCTGTATGGACGAGCCCTCCCACTGCCATATGGGGGCTTGCAGTAAGTACTTTTTCAGTTCTTCTCTTTTCCAGTGCTCATCACAGGGTAGCTGGGGAAGAATTAGACATATGATCAATGTATTGATTTCAAATGAGCAAAGCAGCTTATTCATGTGGAGTGGTTACCAGATGTACAGTATAGTCATTACCAGATAGGAGAGAGCGCAGTGGGAGGGACTCATGGGTTGTGCCATTGACTTGTGTCTCCTGTCTTCTATGTGTTGCATCCACTTCTGTTGCTCTGCAGCACTGGCACATATGAACACCTTGGAGTCCACCATTGGACCTGTATGAGAGAGAGAACCACACACTCAGTACTTTACATGGTGTTCGAGTCTCTTGGGTGAAGTTGGTAATTTCTGCTGACTCACCACTGATCTCAAACATGTGAGGTGAATGTGACGCATCATGGTCCAGAGAGACGGCCTCCAAGGAGAGTCCAGAAAGGGGAAGGATGCCCTGCAAGATAAGAGAACACGTAAGAACAGATCATGTCTGTCATTGTGCTACAGCTTCCTCCGGAGGGATTATTATGAGACGCAAGTGAGAAAACTTGTTTTTCCTCTCTGTTGATTATGGGTACAAAATTGTTTTTCCAGGCTAATCTTTTCAAGTTACTTTAACTACATCTGGGAAGAAAGGTGAAAAATTGTGATTTTTGTTCAAAGAAATGTGTTCTTGTGTTCGAAATAGGTATTACTAACACCTTTATACAAATTATATTAAAGTCCCTGACTAAAAGAAATCACATTTTTCACAGATCCTAATAAATGTTCACCTCTTCTCAAGTCATAAACACAGACGAAAAATCGATTTAGATCAGACTTAGGAAATAGATAGATGTTTAATCACTCTTGCTTCTTAGGACTACTCTATCTGATTTCATATCCACAAGCCCAGTCTGTAATGTTTTTCACAACTCCTGAGATCAATATTTATCTCTTTATTTGCTAAATGCTAGGGCTGCTCAATTAATCGTATTTTAATCGCAATTACGATTTTGGCTTGCAACGATTACGAAAACAACGTAATCGAAATAAAACGATTATTTATTTTGTATTATTATTATTATTTTGTATTTATTCTTCAGTGGAATTATACTTAAAGTTAAGGTTAATCAACTGTTAAAAACATACTGTTACATTTTTTTTTTTCAATAAATGGATGTTTTCAAAGTAAATGGATAATCGTTTTTAATAATGGTGATATCAATTATTGACCCAAATAATCGAGATTATGATTTTTGCCATAATCGAGCAGCCCTACTAAATGCTCATCTATGGTCATTAGCTTGTTGCTATCATTTTTCTGTCTGCAATTGGTGCTGGGCAGATAGACACATGGTTTATCAAACGTTTTTTTACTGTTGCTGCTGATGATAGATCTGTCGATATACATATAATCAACGACGATATTTTACATTGCACAGAGAAATAAGGTCTGTTGTTGATTAAAAATATGTTTAGTGTGGCTTTAATGTATGGTTGAATATTAGCCACTACCTGACATTTCATTTTTAGTTTCATTTTAAAGGGAAATGCACAAAGAGTACCTCATAGATGAAGTCTTCTCGAGAGTGATCCAGGGAGAGGATCAGCAGGTGGAAAGAGAACAGCACCAGGAAGTGTTCACTGGTTTCCTGTGGGGGGGGAAATGAAGATAAGTGACAAAAGATTTAAGGTGAGTCACTGCAGTCAAATATTTGTTTCGGGGCTTTTGCTTCCATAACATGTCTTCTTTCTGACTAGTGGAAAAAAAACATCCAGAATGCGCATTAAGGTGTTTATTTTGTTTATGTCTACTATCGTTTGTGTCCTTAATTTACCAAAAGCTAGCATTAAATAATGCCTGACTATTATTTATACACTGAACAAAAATATAAACGCAACACTTTTGTTTTTGCTGCCATTTTTCATGAGATGAGCTCAAAGATCTAAAACATTTTCTATATACACAAAATAACCATTTCTCTCAAATATTGTTCACAAATCTGAAAAACTCTGTGATAGTGAGCACTTCTCCTTTGCCGAGATAATCCATCCCACCTCACAGGTGTGGCATATCAAGATGCTGATTAGACAGCATGATTATTGCACAGGTGTGCCTTAGGCTGGCCACAATAAAAGGCCACTCTGAAACGTGCAGTTTTGCTTTATTGGGGGGGGTCTGGGGGGGTCCGAAAACCAGTCAGTATCTGGTGTGGGGGGTAGGGGTAGGGTTAGGGTAATGTTGTGAATCGAGTGGCCCATGGTTGTGGTGGGGTTATGGTATGGGCAGGCGTATGTTATGGACGACGAACCCCCCAGACCCCCCCAATAAAGCAAAAATGCACGTTTCAGAGTGGCCTTTTATTGTGGCCAGCCTAAGGCACACCTGTGCAATAATCATGCTGTCTAATCAGCATCTTGATATGCCACACCTGTGAGGTGGGATGGATTATCTCGGCAAAGGAGAAGTGCTCACTATCACAGATGTTTTCAGATTTGTGAACAATATTTGAGAGAAATTGTTATTTTGTGTATATAGAAAATGTTTTAGATCTTTGAGTTCATTTCATGAAAAATGGGAGCAAAAACAAAAGTGTTAAGTTTATATTTTTGTTCAGTGTAGAATAGTTCCTTTAGGATAATATATTGATGGAGCCATAGACATAAGGCCACATACCTGGGTGTAGCTGTTGTAGAGAGACACCAGGGAGGAGTGGATGATCTCTCCATACATGTGTGCAGGCTGGCCCTCCCACTCCTTGATTGGCTGGGAGGAGTGGATCCTGTGGGTCAGCTCCTCTCTGCTCCGGCCCCACAGCACCACCTGCAGGCACACAACTCCATCAGGCCACATCATTCCTTATCGTTTGTAGATTTGAATATTATGTGGCTTTTCTTTTGGTTTCCTAATTTTGATAAACCTTGTGTGTTGCTGTTTTTTTGTGGATTATGCATATTGGAAATGACCTAATGTTGTTTTGTATGTATTTATGGATATGCCCTTACATGTCCTTAGTTTAACCTGTTCAACCCTGAGCCTGTTTTTCAGGTCTCAGGCTCGAAAATGACATTCCCTCAACAAATAACCATATCTTCCCTTCTAAAAGGGTTACATTAATCATCTTTGTTCTCAAAGAAATTATAAACCTGTGAGTTGGATCGTAGAAGAGTCATAAATCAATATAGATGTTTATATAGATATATATAAACCCCCCCAGTGCTTAAGAGGTTAAACTATGTACATAGCCTATGTGATAATAAAACATTTGTATTATTTATTATTATTTCATTTTAATTGGTAGGCTATGCCTTGAATCAAAACTTTTTTTGTGTGAAGGAAAATAAATAAATAATAATAATATAAAATTAAAAATAATCACTAGATATAATAGATATTAAACATTTTCTTTTAAACTAATCAATTAAAAATAATTCCATTGCCACGTTTCACAGAGCGATGACTCATCATTACTCAGCAAATCGAGCTTCTTGAACTGTTGCAAGCCTGTAGTCATGTTGTCTGATCAACATGTTGCACAACGAGAAGGATTCTTATCCAAAGTTAAATCTCTGCGTCAGTGAGGACTGGTTTCTCTGTAGGGGTGTGAATGTTTCCGAAACTAATTCTTATTTAAGTGTGCACTTAAGAAGTGCAAAAACTACAGTTTGTGTAGCAGTCTTTCCCCTCTCCTATTATTTCCTGAAGAGATTGACTCACACCAAACAGGGAATGCAGAATCTCTCCCCTTTGTCATGGAAATTCCTACAGTGTGTAAACAGTCTGGCCTCAACACAAATACCAGCAGAGTGGAAACTGTTGATATTCATGTGAGGCACATCTAGTCACATGGAGAAGAGTTACAGTGTTTAGCCATAAGAAACACCCTGAGTTCTTACTGTGAAACACACACACACACACACACACACACACACACACACACACACACACACACACACACACACACACACACACACACACACACACACACACACACATACACACCACACAAGCAATGACCTCTTTCTCCAGGTGTCGTGTTGAGGGGTAGCGCGGTGGTGGGGGGGGTGGAGGTAGTTTTAGCGGGGGGGGGCTGCTGCTCCTCTCTGCTGTTCCTCACTGACAGCTTCAGCCTGGTCTCTCCCAGACTCCACAACCTGAAAACACGTTTCATCAAACATTCATGTCACCACATTTCATCAGACATGTTTTGCATGGTTAGCTTCGTGACCTCCCTGCAGCACGGATGTGGGCTCAGCTCGTGGTGCTGGACGTGCCGCTTCACGCATGTTTACGTTCATATTCTGTTTGGTTCTGCAGCGCAAAGACACGGCCTACTGGAGAGAAGCTATCATAACATTATGTTTGTAGGCCTATGTTTATGTTTTCTAATGGACTGGATACACAATTACTCTTTCCCTTATGACATACTATACTATAACTTTTGAATGATATACTATGACCTTTCAATGAAACACATACTATGACCTTTTTAGAAAAAATGCATCATAATAACACTTTTACACTCTTTAAGATCACATTTGAGTGATAGGCATTCATAGTAAATACATATGTATATATAAAACATAATAATCAGTTATATTGAAGCATGTATTCATTTAAATGCATGAAACTTATGACACTTCAATAACAATATAGCACACTAGATGTCCTTAATACAGTTAATTGTCGAGGTGTGTTTTGGCGATTGCATGTACAGTAGTTAAAATGAATTAAAAAGGAAGATTTATTTAGTCAGGTTTATAATTAGCCAAGAGCATATATGCCACTAAAAATATTTCAAGCATTATTTGTATTTATGAATCACTATGAATGCCTCCATGATGCACCACACTGTAGATGTCGTCTTCATAGAAATGGTCCCCATCATGTGTTACGACCGGTTACGACATACTATACAGCCTACAGAGAGCCCTAAAGTAAATGAATAGAATTTGAAGAGCAGCATTTTAGAATTGAAATGCTTGTATTGACCCCCCCCCCCCCCCCCCAGCAGACAGACATAATCAGATTACACAGACAGACACACCTGCTGACCCTGCTCCCCCATGTTTTGTTGCCTGTGTTGCAAAAAATCATTCTGAGCAGGTTTATGAACATACACAAAAAGAGAAAGATCAGTAAGCATGCACAATTAATACAAAAATTGTTGATTTCTGAATATGATGTAAACAATTTTCCCACAATGCAATTCATAAAAGGAGGCAGAGGATCTACACACAATAGATGATACACCCGGAGCTACAATCTTAAAAAAAGATATATTAACAGGAAGTAGATAAGATGTTACATTCTTAAGAAACAAGGTTATGTTTTTGTTTACATTGATATGAGTGTTTGTTAAAGCGGTTCATAAAGGCCTAAATTACCAGTGACATGATGGTGCGTATTTCCTTTTTTTGGTAACTCACAGTAAATACCAGTTACTTTACAGATTCTATTTAATATAATATATTTGGATTATTAAAAATACAATCTCCAAATACATCATGCTGTAATATTATGGGTAAAGATACAACTTAATTGCTCCATTAGTTACCAAGCAGTAAATATAATTAAAAAGCAAATATGATTACAATTATGCATTTGATATTAATTATTCTGACATTCTGCATAATGTGTAGTTTCACTTTGGTACTGTAAGTATATTTTGATACTAGTACTTTTGGACAAAAGTGTAAATACAGGACTTTTATTTGAGTATTTCTGCACTTTTATATTACTTGAATCAGTTCTCTTGGTACGTTCTGCCCCCACTGTAACAAACACTTTGTGTGTGTTGTTGAATAAAAGCAGGAGTGGGCTGTGACCATCAGTAGTAATAATTAAACAGCCACACATAAGGACTATAGCTACTGTTGTGATTAGCCTCTGCTAATACCCCCGCCTCAGAATGAGCTGGGATTGTCCCCCTCTGCATTCAATAAACCCCCCATGCTCCAGCCATTGTCTTACAGTAATCTGCTAATCACATCAGTGCAGCATCGCCGAGCTCCAGCTCATGGTTAGTAAATAAGAGCCAATCAGTTCTCCTGCCTGGCTGTTTTCAGGGTTCTGATGAGGGCAAATCATATGGACGTAACGTGTTGTACTGTACGTGTGCTCAATCTAGCTAAAGCTTTATAAATGAACATTTTCTTCACTATATTATGTATCAGACATGTAGCCTGCAGTGTGCACCCTGTAAACACTGCAGCTTTAAAAAGGACGTTACCTCTCCTTGGGTTCAGCTCCAAAATGTGATGCATGACATACCAAAGAAAACCACTGACACAGAAGCAGCTGAAGTGCTTTCTTGTTCACAGAATGACACTGCTTCCTCCTCTTTGATACACAAAACCACATTTAAACTAACCTCCTAAAAAGTACTTTCTATAAATCTGTAAATCATGACTGCACTTTGTTCTAGGATCCAACTTCTGTCATATGTGTAGATTCACCATCTTCTCTATCTTAGCTTTATAATATAAACTTGAACTTGTGTCTTACCCCAGGTTGTCCCCAGAGAGTTCCAGGAGCTCGATCTCATCCGGGCCCACCTCGTCCACCCCAGTGTTCCTCTGGGTCACACCGCAGCATCCCATAACGGCCTGTCTCAGCTTCTAGTCCGAACACTGAGCACCATCTGCCCCACTGGGAGTGTGCCACGCTCAAACCAAAAGAGATAACAGCAGAACTCCGAAGAGGATATTGAGTGCTGGTGATGAGGGGGGGGGGGGTGCTGCTAAGCTCTAGTTCCCCCTTTTTGCCAGCATGTGGTTCATGTGTCCATAGAGAACCAAAAGGTGTCTGAGCTTTTGAAGAGGAATTCAAGTGTGTTTTGTTGCGTTGCAGCGTAGTAGCTGTTCCTTCCTTCCTGTCTGTCTGAGGACTGAGCAGCTTCCTCCCTTTTTTCAACCTGCTGACTCTTTCATTACAAATAAAAACGAGTTGTAATGTCATCTAAAGCTTCCAGCCTCAGCATGTGGATGTAGCAAGCCTGTTGGGAAAGATGGGACCGGTCCTGCCTGTGTTTACATGCAGTGCTAAATATAATTATGAGTTATGATGAAACAGAGAGGTGAAGCGCTGCAGTCAAAACAAAAACGGTGGAGTCTGTGTTGATCTCACTGGTTAGAGTTACAGTGAGACAGTGGGAGGGTTTGTACACAATCAGGTCTGAATGTCTTCCACAGGAGCTGTTTCTGTGAAGTAACGCAACCACTGGATATATGTTGTGCTTTGATGACCGTAAACAATAAGATAAGAAGATACAAAGTGCTTTATTGATCCCAATTTGGGAAATGTTTGCGTTGCAGCAGCATAAAAACACCTTTTTCTTCTACCTTAATTAGAAGACAAACCTGTTCTTAAATTGGAATTGTAGGTGTTTATCATGAAATAATACACAAAGCAACAATAACATAAACCCACTTAGCATTAATACATTATTTGTTGTCACATTTAAGCGTTTATTTCTCACAGACAAACAGCACCAGAAGTGTCAAGCCTTTTTTTAGATGTGGCCTTTTAGATCCCAGCTGTTTGCACATGATGCATCACAGTTCCTCTTTACTCGCATAAACTTAAATATCCTCTCTGGGCTGCTTTTCCTGTTTGTTCCCACTCACAGGAGATCCAGCATCAGGAGGGAATGGTGGTCCACGGACGGAGGTTCCTGGTGACGACAGCGTCATGATGATCCTCTTCTGCTGCTGATGCTCCCCGTCATCCAAAGTACATTTACTCGGCTTTAATTCGACCCGAGGCCTGGGGTTCTCATACTTAACAGTCTGCCTGCTGTGTACATGTGGAGGTCCCTGAACCGAGGTGGAGGAGCGCTGGCCAGACTTGGTCCCCCCCTGTCCTTGAACACTGCCAGAGACATCATCAGGGGATGGAGAGGGGACCATTTTGTCTTCTGTCCCTGACTTACATCTTCTGGGTTCAGTCTTTTTGGAGCTCTTCTGGAGGATCTCAGTATGTGTGTTGCTCTTGCTGCAGCCCAGCAGCGAATCAGGAGGAGCCACTTTGTTGTAAAGCAGCACAAAGTCCCTCTGACTGGCCAGAGGGAGAATTCTCTGCTTGAGGCGACACTTGTTGAAGATCTCCAGAGTTAAATCTAGAGCGGGAAGAAGTGACAGCAGGTCAATACAAATGTTGGGTGATGTCTCACATGAGTAGAGTTACATGTGTGATAAAGGGAACTAAGACTTTGCCGTACATGCAGTGAGATAATGAAAGGTTTTTGACATTTGGGTGTAGTGTTCAATTTAGTTTTTTGGTAATCATGTGGGCTCACCCAGTGTCTCCTCCACGGTGCTCGGTATCACCTCCTTCAGCACTTCACAGTTGGTGTGGAGAGCCGGGTTACAGTTCATCTCCAACAGCCACACCTATCATAATCACACAGAGACACAACATGTCCAAAAACATGCAGATTAACACTTCTCAGATATTCAGCAAAGTCTCACCCACCTTGAAGTCCTCATCAACCATAAAGTCGCATCCAATTAAGTCAAAGAAGCCCAGTCTGCAGTCTAGTTTGGATTTGACTGCTAGGAAACACTGCATCATGATCTGCTGCATGCGCTCCTGATGCATTGAAGGGAAAACTGTCGGTCATATCACACTTCAAAGCGACATACCTGTAGCCCTTTTTCCAGCACTTATCAAACATTTATGATGTGCTATTGCATATATCATAAACAAAACAACATAGTATAGTATGTAGAAAATATGCAAAAAAAACGGCCTATTATGTAGAAAAGATTCCCAAAGTAAATAGCACAGTTGGTGTAAAATGTGCAAAAGAAACAACGTATTATAGTATATAGAAATGTTCAGAAAAAAATACTAAGTATAGTATTTCTAAAATATGAAAAAAGGGTATAGTCATGTTAGGTCTATGTCTAAAATATCATTAAATATATTAAAAATGCCATTGCTTTCTAAGTCAAAAAGACGTCACAGTGCATAGTGTACAGTATGCCAAAAAAAAAGTCAGAGTATATATATATATATATATCTACATATAAACTATGTGTATGTAGCCTATATACTATTTCACTTGTGGGTGCAGTTTGGGGATACATATTGTACAATTTGTTATACTGTGGACAAACATTTAGTTCCATTGTATACATGATGTATCCTCGGACAGGAGTGAGATCATACAAGCCCAAATGCAATCCCAATTAGTTGCAAGCACCAACAACCACCATTAAAATAGTAATTGGTCCCTTAGAGCTACAACACACACACACACACACACACACACACACACACACACACACACACAGCACACACACACACACACACACACACACACACACACCACACACACACACACACACACACACACACACACACAACACCACACACACACACACACACACACACACACACACACACACACCACACACACTCACTCACTGCAAAGGCGCCCATCACCCAGTCCCTGGGCAGACCCTTGGCAACCCGAAACCTGCCATTGACGTAGGTGTTGAAGCGCTCCATGGTCCAAACAGTGTCCTCCTTCAGCTGGCTGTACAAAGGGTTCTTCTTCTGCATGTACTGGAGACAGACAGCAGGGGGACCAGAGACACACCAAGCAGCAGTGAGCCACAGCTAATGCTAATGCTACCCAACCTCTCTAAAAGTATGTGTGGCATGAACAGCAAAGACTGGATGCAAATGTCTCTCAAGTGTTATCTTAAACGGTTATGTCCTTTTAATGTAAATATCCTCAAGGCAACATTAGTCCTTAAAAAGCTTTAACAGCACATGGGTGCTAAAAATAAGTTATTTAAGCCCAGTTATTGTCTTTATCCAATATTGGCATAGTGGTATATAATCAATACAACTTGAGGCAACTTTATGTTAACAGTTAGTCAGTGTGCGAGAAAGATCATTGTTGACCATGTTCTGAAGAGCAGGGTCCTAAATCAGACTGCTGAATCAGATACATGTTGAAGTCTATATGGAAGTCACATAGAGCAAGTATAAACAGGGGATGTGATTACATCAAGCAAACCCTATACTATGGGTACATGACTGTTTGAAGGCACACTTTAACCTTTGACCTGCCAGTTAACCTTGTATATGTTTGGCACTTTGTCTCAGTATTGAGGTGTACCTGATTGGTCAGATGGGCAGAGAGGTTGTTGGAACTCGGGTCGTAAAGGTCACAGGTCAGTCGCACGTATCCATGACGAAAGAAGACCATGTAGGGTGCGGTGCAGGCGATCAGAAGATAAGAGCGCACATCAAACTTTTTCCCTTTCAGGAGCAGCGGCCTCTGGATGTAACTGAGGGCAAAATACAGTTGAGCTTAAAGAAACAGCACCATCAGTGATTCTATATGAAAGGGAAATTAGTTTTGTCAATTAGAAGAGATGTTATGTCTTATTGGAGACATTGAATGTGTCATCATATTTATTTTAGCGGCAGTATGTCCACCCACTGTTGGACAATGCGAGCCTGAGGCGGGCGCTGGAGCAGCTTCCTGTCGGCCTGGCTGTCCTCCGTGTGCTGCAGCTTCAGTCTGAAGGACGCCACGTCCTCCTGGCTCTTCAGCAGGAAGATGCCTTTCCCCTGGTTCAGGCCCGAGGGCTTACAGATCCACATGGGACCCTTGTTATTGCTCACACCTGGTAGCAGTCAGAAAATCACATCATGTAGGTCCAAAAACACATTATGAGACTGTATTTTGTAATGATCTGCTGCATTATATTATAAACAGCCGTAATCTAAATACATTTCCCACATTTTGTAATAAATGAAAACATACTGCAGTTGTTTTTGCAAAAAGCCATATATTATCCCTTTCTTTCATGAAACATAATATTCATGAAATATTAAACTGGGTGTCTTTAATGATGAAAAAAATAGCTATAGCAAAACAAATATTTCATGCCTTAGAAAACATTGACGCAAATACATTTTAAAAGAAAAATGACTTTGGTAGATAAGTATATTGTTTTGTATTGACACAAACCTAAAACTTGACACAAACTCAAGCGTCACTGTATTCTTAAACCTGTGTGCAGATGAAGACAACCCATTTGAGTTGATATTGCATACTATTACTACTATTATTATTATAACATACGTATTATTACATTTTCCTTTTTTTTATTGTAACTCCCACATTTAGTAATAACTACTGCAATATGTTAAAATGTACGACAAAATAAATGAAAATGTATTACATAATGAATGAACATTTATAAAATAATTGCGTTCAAGATGTTTATTATAAAATACGATGCGATAACATAATGACATAATTAAAAGTGTAAAAAGGTGGATCACCTTGTCCAGTCATCAGATATTACATTACGTTTTGTTATGCCTTCACCGGTCTTTATGTTACTTTGACTAATGGCAAATCATGTGATCAGCCTATAAGATAATTATGCTGTATTGTTATCAATCAAACTATTCCATAGCATATTAATGAGTCAAATGAAATGAGTTGAACCTCACCATGTGGATGTGTCAGTGATAACGCTAATCAAACATAATTTATGTCAGGGGCTATTCTACTGTATAATGAGGATTTCTACATACACTACCATGTGCAACACTTTTCTATGATGGAGTTTCCTTTCATAGCGTTTTTTTATTCTCATAACTGCTCTTGTCTTCATTTCCACAGTTTCATCCGTCACCCAGAGATCTAAACCAGCTGTCTGTGTCCTTCTCCTGTGTACTCAGTGATAACCATGTTTGTCATAACCTGCACACCCCTTATCATAATGCTGTGTGTCTGTGTTACTGCAGACAATAGAGGAACCATCAGATGGTTTCATATCTAGAACTAGAAATGAAGGGGAAATGTTTTATAGTTGTAATACTAAATGCATCTTTTTGATCTCAGCAGCTTTACATTGTCCTCCTGTCGAGCGTTTGTTCCTGTTTGTGTCTCAGCCCTGCCCTCTGCTGACTCATCTCTATGGCAACAGCATGTTCCCCTGGTGATTTAATCAGGGCCTTATGGGAGGTGAAGTGCATTATTTTCCGACATCCCCGACCTCTTGATTAAACAATCACCAAGGCAACTGTTGTCTTAACACTGCCAAGCACAAACTATTCTCTTTCTTTTTGTTATGGGATGCATGATGGGCACACTTTGATTGATCATATTTATAAGCTGAATAAACACAAATCCAGTGGAACCGGTGTTGTGTTGTCGCTGCATCCGGGTGTAGAGCTGTACTAGAGGTGAGTGTAGATGTCTTTTACCCTCCTGCTGGGCAAAGAAAGCCTCCCTCTCCTCCCTCACATCCATGCGGAAGGTAGTGGGAATAAACTCTTCCATTTTAAGCCTCCTGTGAAGTACGACACAAGAAGAAGAAGAAGATCAATGAACGGATGTGTGCCTTTAGCTGTTCGAAACTGATTGTGTCATATGATGAAAATGAAAACTGCCGGAGAAAGTTACTTAAGATAAGCACACATGTCACTCTATGTCAGTAAACATAAATCTGTACACGTGTGACATCTGTACTGTTGATGCAGACTTTAAAATCCCGACATGATGTTCATGTTCAAGTGTGCAGAATGAATACTTTTACTTTTTGTACTTTAAGTTCATTTTGATACAATTACTTTTGTAATTTTAAAATCAGGACTTTTATTTGTAGTGGAGTATTTTAAGACCATAGTATTAGCACTTTTTTTAAGTAAAGGATCCGAGTACATCTTCCAACAATGCTAGGAGATATTATAAGAAATACTTATTTCTATTAAAAAAGGTTGCAAAACATTTTAACAGTTTTCGATAGTCAATAATTAGCCACTGAAATAGTTTATATAACTGACAAAAACAATGCTAAATACCAAGCTTGTGTGATTCAGAGGCCTGGTTTCTGGTATTTATTAAATATTGTCTGAGGCTGATATGTCTTTCAATCCGTATTTGCCGAGCCGGGCCTCTATTGAACCTCTCTGATGGCACCAGATTGTTGCTAAGAGATTTGTGACACAACCATAAATGCTGTTATATATGTCTGCTTTTATAAACACACAACCTGAGTCCTGCTCCGTGTTTGACTTTGCTGCTGACCCGCTCGTACTCCCCGCAGGCTGCTGAGGAGGCCGATCTTAGTGGTGAGCACCTTGTTGTTGGGGATCTGGTACACCAACTGTTCACCTGGGAACCACACATGAGGAATTCATGTTTGTATTTCTGTGAATGGACAACAATGCATGTATTTTCTACTTAAAGCAAATGTATGGAAGCCCTGAACTGAAAAAAAGGGGGGAACAAATATGGTGATTAATTTTCTAGGTGTGATCTAACGTGTTTTCTCTGCTGTTTTTATTATTTTGGAATAGTGGAACAGTTTCAAAGGTAAATTATTTCAGTATAATAGTTGTGCGTGGTTGTAATACACATTTTAGCTGTAAGAGCACCACTAAACAGGACTAAAAACTTAACTGGGCACGCACCAATAACTCATTTTGTTACTATTATAATATCTAAAATGTTTTTATTTAAAACATGGGGTAGTGGTGCACTGCAGGCTTGAGTGGCAGAAATTAGTGTTACAACACATTTAAATTAAATTGGATTAGATCATAAAAACATTTCTTTGCAAAATCCTTTTTTCTTACTTAGCTTGACTCTGATAAAATATTTAAAAAATTGTCCAGTTCCTAAATCGTGAACAAAAGGGGAGAAAAAATGAATCCTACATTTAAAAAAAGGATAAAACAGTTGTTTGTCCTTTGCTTCTAGGTGCTTCCATAGAATTGAGAAAGATGAAACAACAAAAAGACAGATTTAGCATTTTTCCTTTCCTATTTTATGGCATTTTCGTAGGATTTACTTTGGGAAATCTTAGAGTCTCTAGTAAAATACAGCATTCAGAAAATGTTCTGAGATATATATAGTTGGGCACCTTCTCTGAAGTTACTGTAGTTGGCCTTGTGATTAGTCTCACACCACTTGAGTTTGAAATCCTCCCTCTGCTTGTTGTAAATCCTCTTCCATCCTCTGCTCTCACAGTAACGGCTCACTCTAAAAGAGAAGTCCCAAAGCACATCAATCACACAACAGTACAGAGGTCAGGGGTCATACGTAAATCTAGGGTTAGACTAATAAGAGCCCAAAAACTAAATAAATAACAAGTGAAATATGTTTAAAGCAAATCCATCCAGATTCTTCTTGGTACCCCTTTATTTTATATTCCTCTACTTACATTTCAGCTCCGTTGGCTCCTCCAATGAAGTAGAAGGGCCCAGGCCCCCGGGGCTCCTCTACCTGCCGCTGTCTGTCCCTGTCTGGGTAGGAGCAGGTCGACATCTCCCTGGGGAGGGACCTCCGGCGGTGCCGCACCAGGTCCACACCTGATGCTTTTGCACACACAAACACAAAGAAATCAGGCATGGAGACAGTCTAACACAAACACACAGGCTTTTTAAAAACTGGAAAATGTGTTGATGAACTATCTTCTTCATGCTGAATTAAACTATGGAAAGAATAGCAAAGGACATCCCTCAGTGAAGCCGCACTTTCCCACCACACACCTGGCCCACTATATGGATTTTCCTTGTTGAAAGTCATGTGGGAAAACTTCTTTCTCTTTTCTTGAGTCTGCGTCTCCTCCCTTTGGACATGTTCCAGTCCACTTCCTGATGCTACTTCCTGCATGTCCCTATGGTCAGGTGACGAGGCCGGTTCTCCCCTTGGCTCCTCCTGCCTCAGGCTTCCTGCAGGCACCTTGTCCCCACAGGGAGCCTTCACTTCCTCCTTCTCTCCGTTTTCCCCTTGTGGCTTCTGCCGTTCTCTCCCCTCTGCCGGGCCTTCACTGCAGGACTTCACCCAGCACTCAGACATGACCTCTGCTCGTGCAGATCTCTGGTGATGGCTGAACATTTTGCAACATTAGAGACCCTTTCTTTGGGGTGAAGTGATACTGTATGAGACCCCAAATGAGATGTTTGTTATTATTGCTTAGTTTTTTTTCAATACACTAACGATTTAGTGTAAGGGTCAAGATGAATAGATAACGTTTGCTTAATCAACAGCAAGTGCTGTACATGTCTGGTACGGTCACATGATATTATTTTCATGCTTATATCGTTTCCCTTTGGATAGTGATATTTGTCTGTTGGTTGGTCTGTCCACCATTTTGGTTCAGACTGAATAGCTTTTCTGTAGACACGTAATTATTATGAATTGTGAGCAGCTTTTACTCATTACATTTAATAAACAAGTATAGCATAGCATAGCATAGCAGTAAAGCTGTCAGCCCATACAACTGTTGGGCTCATAAGAAACATACTTTGGCTACTGGCCAGACTGCCAGATAGCAGATATGATGATGTACAGTATGTATGATGTGATGCGTATGGTATTTATGATATTCAGAGGATTATTCCTAATTATTTTTGTTGACCCATTGACTTTATGTCCTCCACCAGGACTTCAAACGCTACTTTAGCCCTTTGATATTTGAATATCAGACAAAAATAAAAAATCTCACAATCTAAGAGGCACATTGCTAAGAAATTTGCACCGTCTTGTTATACCTTTCCTTCACAACAAACTGTACATTTAAGGGCTCACCACAAAAATGTATACATTTTCTTTGGTTTAATTAACATTTAATCTCCATGGGGTTGCTCACACCTGTAAGCAGGTTTAGACTTTAGGCCTTATAGTTCAAATGTATTATCATGTTTGGCAAGCCTGAAACGTGATAAATACAAACAAACGAGTGTGAAGAAATAGAATAAGTATTTCATTAAATGTGGTGTTTTGTGTTAGAGGACAGGAGCTGAACCATGACATATAACATTTAGAATTAGAGGGGGTTTTACCTGTAGCTCCAGTGTCTCACACACAGGGACAGCCAGACTCCATGAAAACCCACTCAGCCTGTTCCTCTCCTGCCATGTGCGCTCAAGCTTGTACTCCAAAGGCAAGGCTGAGACAAACAGAAACCCACAGACTGAAGCACAGACACGACAGAGGTGAAATCACATAGTCTGTCAGCAGTTTAGCCCACAGAAATGAGTCGCAGTCTGCCGCACTGCAAGTAGGGAATTCTGGCTAGACTAAAGTAAACAATCACCGGTTACTCTGGTAATGGGACCCTTAGCAACAGTTGCCACTTGTAGATCCAACAACAGCAGCTCAAGACAAACTTCTCAAGATTATGTATCCCACACCTACCCCACCTCTTAGTTAAGCTTCATTCAATATTAACTGCCTGTTAGCCTTTGTTTTTTGAATCCTAAGGTAACATGAGAACAGACTGTCAATCAAAATGGATTTCCAGGGTATTATATCCTGACACTAAAGGTAAAATAATATTTTCTAAAGGCTCAGGGACATGTGTTTTGCAAAGTGACATACATTTCTAGGGCAGAAAAATGTAGCTTTTAATTTAGATAGTTGTGTTCCCAACAGTATAAGCAGTTATTCTTCTCATAGAAACAAGCAATATTCTGTCCTACTACGGATTTAGTAATGTAGTAGGGGAAACGCTAATTTAAAATATAATAAGTGCAAAATGTCAAGCTCAAAAGTTGAAGATGGGATGAATACTGCGTATTTCTTTCAACATGGAACGTTTTACAAGCCCAAATGCCATAATTTCAGTCGATTAAAACACAATTTAGCGTCATCAACACAATGACGTCAGACAGACAAGGCTTTGACGCCCCATGGCAAACACTTATTCGCTAAGAACACACAGTATCATACAGCGCAAAATATGGAATTATTTACCATTCTTTCTGACTATATTAACTTAGGAATCAAGCTCTTAATTAAATAACGGAACATAAGATGCTATGCAAATGGAGATTTGTATTGTGTTGAAAAAGGCACTGGTGTAAGTCAGAAAGACTACCTTTGCTTTAGGACACAGCTAATGGGGATCCTATTATAAAATAAAATACTTTATTGTAAACTTAACCACATCCAGCAAAATCATTGTTTAAATCATTATTTTTATATGGTAGGTATTAACATAAATCATGTTGTCTAGAGCCAAATCCAGTGACAGGTATGCAGTTGAGCAACATAGTATGTCTCCTCACATTCTAGAGGAAACACCCAGACCAAACCACGGTTGGGAATTATGCATAATCTCCTCTCTTCCTCTCAACAATCTGATAATTGACAGGGGCGGGTGCCTCTTAGACCCAGCATCCATGCAACCATATAATCACACATACAGCAGGGAAACCAAGGGTGACGCATACACATACAGTAACACCTGTAGTTTAAGCAGCAATTCATGCCTAGATCTTATTTAGAGCAGGTTAGTCAAACTTTGCAGAGTTAAAACAGTCGAGATCTGAACTGAATCACGCTTTATGTGATACGGTAAAATGGTTCATGGATATATAAAAGAGTTGTTGGCAGCTGAACAAGTCGATAAATGACGCATTCTAACTTTAACAAACTAAAAACAACAACAACTGAGTACAAAGTAGTTGTCACACATACCAGAATAATGTGTTGAAACATATTTCATGCATGACTACATTTACAAAGCATTACAGAAAGTCATGTCAGTTTAGTTTTTTTAAATGGCAGCCATTACAGAGAGCTGCTTGGCAGTGATGCGAGCCCAGCCGCATCACCCCAGTTATTAGAAGCGGGCCTCCAATGTTCCTGTTTAACAGAGCTTTGTGTGGAGCCAGTGTCAGCCACACCTTGATAAAGAGCCGCCATCTGATAGACACACTGTGTACAGTGCTGCGTAGGTGGACAAAGAGAACAGGCTTGTTTTACAGCCCTGGCAACCTCATGGTTCACCATCTGCCAAGAGGCTGCATACATGTGTGTGTAGTGTGTGAATAACATTTTCAGGATCTAAATGTTAACTAATAACTATTTTCATTTGATCTTGGATTGTCTTTTTGACAGTGTGGGCCACATTGGGATGCTTGATGGGTAACTTTACTTTAGTTTTCTTTGAGTTTCTGCTGTTGGTGCTCTTCCCATTATCTATTCATCCACAGCATCTACTACTCATCATGCTGACAGGCCAGGCCAACCAAACCACAAACATAAAATAGACCACATTACCAGAGACAATGACAAGACCCTTTTTGAGCATTTTCACAAATAGTAATGTGTTTTATAAAAAATGAAACTAATGAAATGAATATATATCATTAGACCAGAAGTAGGTGTGCTCTGTCTCAGGGCAGTTACACCATAAAGCGTTTGTCTTTGGAGACTCGCCCATTCCCATGTCATCTCAACTGACTCCTGCACCAGGAAGTGCTCAGCAATTACAGGGATGCAGCCTGCAGCAATGGTGTCCCTACACAACCCATTATTTTGAGAGAATCTCCTTGTAAAGGTGTTATAGTGCAGGGAATGGAGTTAAGTTTCGATGTAAAGAAAGGCGCGTCTCAATAGGGTCTCTCTGTCTCCCGCTTTTCATGATTTCCTTACAGAATTACACCGGGAAAGCAGAGGGGGCGGTGGAAGAGGGGGGAGGAAACATTTTGTTCCCAGGGTCTGTATTCATTCATTCCCACTGGTGACAACTGCAAGATTGAGACACAAAGACATCACATTTCACTAGGAACATTTAATATGGAAACATGTTATGCAGATTTTTGTACTAAGATAGTAGTTTTGAGCTAAATATGTGAATAAAATAAATTCAATAAATGTTGCCTTATTTAGGCATACATTATGACTATAACTCTATAATAAGGTCTCTAGATCAATAAATAGCAGGAAAATATGTGTGTTATTGATTTTAAAAGATGCAGTTTATCAGATATAAATAATGTAAATGTATCACTTATATAGCTCTAAAAAGATAATGCATGTTCTCTATGCAAATGTGTTATTTTACACCATCATTTAAAGGTGATGAAGGTGAATGCTGCCTGCGTCCCACCCAGCTGAGCCTCTGTGGTCCCTCCAAATGCAGAGAAACATGTACCTGATGCCAAACCTCTCATAGAACGTCATCTAGTGTGCTGGTAACACCCTCTAGTATAGCCTGGCTTTCCAACTCCACGCAGGTGTGTACAGAGTACAGTAAGGTCATAATATCTCTGTTTCTTCTGTGCGAACATAAACAACACAAATGAACCACATTATGACAACTTATGAACTAGCCTGCTTATTTCTTGTGTGTAGGAATGACAACATAACTATTACTAGAAATAGAATATACTATAACTTGGTTTTTATTATGAAATAATCTCCTTAAACTAAGAATCCTGTTTTTGTTAGCTTAGAGTAATTCTTTCATATCTACATAGGAAGTTGTCCATCTTTTACAAAGTCCACTATATTACAATGCCATGTTTCTACAGTATATACAGTATAGCCCAGATCAACTCTGGCTCTTTGACATTACCTGGAGACCACTATAGGTTCTCTACACGCTTGGAAAGGGAGGAAAGAGTCCCATTCAGTTGATTGAAATGTACAATCCTACACTGGAACTCTAATTTCAATTTTAAATAGAAATGTTCCTCTTACACAATGCCACATCACTTTTTATAAGAATAGGGCAAGTGGGTTGAGTGTGTATGAACATTTTGGTTGAGATTGAGGCTCTTATGTGAATCTAAGCATTACAGTGATCAAGTGTTTTGGAAGTATTGGTGTTTCTCATTTATATGCAATACATAAAATGGTGCTATTAGTGTGTAAAGAGCATTTACTGTACGTCTAATGCAGGGCAAACAATACAGCAGTGCTTCAAAATTCTCCTACCTTTGTCCTTGACAAAGGCATTGGCCTCAGAACTCAAGTTTGTCCCTGGGGTCTGCACTGTGGCCCCCATCTGGTCATAAATAGGGGGAATGAAGAAAATGCAGTAAAAATAAAAATTCAATGTGGCGATCCTTTGCCCTAACTTATAATCAGTTCCACTCTACAGACTGTGCCCTGCATTAATGTGACAACTACTCAGATTGACTGTACAGTGCATCAGCACACTTGCAGGTAAGTCACAGCTGTTTGCCTCTGTTGTGCTCCTGTTCCTCTACAGTAGCAAGCACAGCTAGGTGAAGCTAGCCTCGTCACCCAGAGCCGGCTGCAGTAAAGGAATCTGGTCTGACTGCAACAAGCATGCACAGACCAGCGCAGGAATCCTCTATGCTCTCTACAAGTCAGGTAAGTGATTTAGAAGTGACGTCACCAAGGCTCATGCCTCTTCTAACTGTACAGTAGAGTGTTTTTATATTACTGTCATGTATAAACGTTTGTTTCTTTGCTACAAGAAACCACATGCATCTAAAAGTAACCCTGAGAACCAACCAAGACAGACTGGGGCTGGAGAAATTACTATTTGGTGACAATATTTATGAAATACGACAATTTCAGGACATATGTTAGTTCAGTTTTTTGTTTTATTAAGCGAAAGTTACATTGGATCTTAACCGCAATGGCTGCACTATGCCTTATCTAATGCTAGCTAAATACTCCAGTCAACTAAAACGACTAGTCTGTGTAACGCTACTAAACAATGTGGATTTCTTAAAAGCTTTTTTAAATCATAGATTATATGAATTCATGTATTTTAGACACATTCAGATTATTTTATTGTGATTAAGTGTGTTTTTTACTCACCTATGAATATTTGTATGGCAGCAATTCACATCTCTTTTGGTACAAAATTAAGAACTGTAGTCCCTCCCACATGCTGTTGTTGCAAACATTCAAGATGGCTGTTCACCTTTTGTTTGTTGACAATAACACATATCTGTTGCTGATACGGGTCAAAGAGAGAAACTGTCAAACTGAAAACAGGTCTGCACAGTTTTCTTGCCTGACAAAAAAGGAGGTCAATGATAGTCCAAGGTTTAGTT